GACCTTTACGAAGATGACCCAGGACAGACGTCATTCCACCTCCACGGTGGCAAGGCCACCTTCCACCTGCACGAGCTGGCCCTGCCGCCCTTCCGCCTGCACGACACCAAGCCCGTCGTGAAGGCCTGGAGCGCCAGCAGCCGCTTGGACGTCGCAGAGGGCCAAGAAGACGAGCTGGCCGGCGACGGCGCCCGGAAGAAGAGCCGCCTGGCCTCAGACTGCATGGAGCTGGACGAGTACGGCTGCCCGCGAGGGGGGGACTCCTCCAGCTTCTCCTTCGAGCAGGACTGGGCCAGTGACCCCGACGAGCTGCTGCCCGGCCAGGAGGCGGGGCGCAGCCGGACGTGCAGCTGCTCCAGTTCCGAGCTGCAGCGCTGCCGGTGCCACAGCCTCTCCAGCCACTCTGAGCCGGCGGACCAGCAGATGGGCGACATCAGCGACTCGTCCTGCAACAGCTCCGACGGGGTGCTGGTGAACTTCAGCGCCCTCTACCGCAAGATGAACGGCCACGCCCACTCCAACCTGAACTCTGCCAACCTGTCATGCGACTCTTCCTCGGACAGCCACTCGGACACGGGGGCCTTTTATCTGGACTTGCACTCATCGCCCGTGGAGCCGAAGGTGTCCTGCAAGACGCACCACCTGGAGGGGTCCGGGAAGGCCTGCGGGTGCCACCACCCGTCCTCGCCCGTCCTGGATGCCAACTGCAATTCCTACCTGCCCCCGTGCGAGCCCTGCGCCTCGGAGGGCTCCGACCTCACCGCCTGCTTCCAGAGCCAAGCACGGCTGGTGGTGGCCACCCAGAACTACTACAAGCTGGTCACCTGCGACCTGTCTTCCCAGTCCTCCCCCAGCCCGGCCGGCTCCTCCATCACCAGCTGCTCGGAGGAGCACACCAAGGCCAGCCCCCTCCAGCCCACTGAGTACTACCTGTTCCAGAGGCCTCAGGCCCCGCCGGAGGAGGAGAGCAGCGACACCGAGGACTCCAGCAGGGGAGGCTCGCGGGGGGAGGCAGCCGAGGGGAATGCCATCGAGGGGCAGGTTTACGTCAACGTCTCCCCCCCCACCCTCGCCGGCGGGAGGCAGCGTTCCCGCAGCTACGACCGCAACCTGGACCGGAGCCCCACCGGCCGGCTGGGCTCGCTGGAGCGCATGATGAGCTGCCCGGTCAAGCTGAGCGACAGCTCTGCCCTGGCCGCCCAGGGCTCCCCCCCCAAGCGGGTCACTTCCTTTGCCGAGCTGGCCAAGGGCCGGAAGAAGACGGGCTCCTCTCCCCCGCTTCGGGCCAGCAGGGACTCTTCCCTCGAGTTCACCCCTGTCCCCGAATACCAGAAAGGCAGCTCTGTCTTCCTGGAGGACCGGGGCCGACACAGCCAGAGTCTCCCTCCCCTGCCCCTGCTCCACCCCCTCAGCCGCAGCCCCGAGCAAGGAGGGGGCGCCTCCAGAAAGGACTTGCGGTGCCGGGAGGGCCTTGAGCAGCCGTTTCCTTCAGCTGTGGCGGAGACAGGGGCCAGTCCCGCCAGCAGCAGCAGCAGCCTGGGACAGAAGGACATACGAGCCCGCGCAGATGGTAAGGCCCCTCCGGGGGGATACGTGGGCCCGTCTCTTATAGTCAGTTGAGGGGGGGGGTCCCTCCAAAGAGGGGAGACAGCTAGGATTGTTCAAAATAGGGGTTGCTGGAGAGGAGCTTGCTAAGGGATACTTCTCCCGAGGGCACTGTCAGGGGAGGGGCTCGTCCAGACAGGCGCTAGAGAAGCAAGCACCCAGTTTGGGGATTGGGCCAGAAGGCCAAAGTTTGCTTACCGGATTGCAAAGAGAGAGAGAGACCGTTGATTGGCGACCGTATGGTAAATGGGAAAGTGTCCGCCTGTTCCCTGGGGGCTATATCCCCAGTGGCATTACAGGTCTGGCTGTAGCCACCGTGGGGCCTTTGGGGCGATGCCCCCTCCCTTATTTGCCCTGCCCCCCCAATCTTCCCTGACTGTATGATGGGCCAAGCCAAGGGTCTTGTTCGGCATAAGGCAGCTTCGTGTGTCCTGCTTTCCGTCAGGGTCGGTCCAACCCCCCCCCCCCAACATGCCTATGGCACTTCCGGCACGTTACTTCCGGAAGTGACGCAGTCACGTTGGGGCACGTGTCTCCCCCAAAGAAAAAGGGTCTAGCTACGGAGCCAGTGGGGGGGGGGTCCCCAGGGTGGTGCCATCGGGCGCTGTGGCCCTCCTCCTGTTGCCTGCCGAGTGTTCCTGGGAAATGGGCAGGGACGAGTGGAGCGTTTGCCCAACGAGGCTTCTGGTTGGCCAGTGGAGATTTGATTGGCAGTGCAGGTTTTCAAGAGCACGGCTTTGTCAGCAGCTGCCCCCGGAGCTCAAGGATCTTCACTGCATGACTGAGGGCAGGCTGCAGCTGCCCTCTCTGGGCCGGCTGGCTTCCCACAGCAGCGGTTTTGTGGCTGCCATTTTGCAGCTACGCCCACCGTGCTGTGTCAGAATTCTGTGGGCCCCCACAGGGCTCAACATGGGTGGGGACACCTGGGGTATCTGGTGGTGGTGGTGGTGCTGAGGGGGAAGGGGCTGTGGAGGCGGCTTCTGGGGTGGGTTGGTCCAGCCACCCCTCAGGAAGGAGAGCTTCCATGCCCAGGGGCCGGTCTTTGAGGAGAGCTGTGGAGCCAGGCCTGTGTGCCAGCGGAGCCCTCCTGCGGCAGCATCCCAGGCGGAGAGATGCCCCGAGGCTTGGGAGCCGCAGGGTGAGAGCGGGGTCCTCTGGGGCTAGGGGTGTCGGAATCCTCGGGGTGGAAGGACTGTCTGAGTGGGGCGAGCTCTGGTGGCGTCCCCGGCCCCGGCAGAGGCTGTCTTCTAATGAGGTTGCTTGCCGCTCCGATTCTTCCTACTCGAAATGAAGGAGATGGAGGAGGAGACTGGATTTATGCCCTGCCCTTCCCTATCCAAGGGAGTCTCAGAGCGGCTTACAAACTCCTTTCCCTCCCCCTCCCCACAACAACAGACACCCTGTGAGGTCGGTGGGGCTGAGAGAGCTCTGACAGAAGCTGCTCTTTTTCAAGGACAGCTCTTGTCAGAACCATGGCTTGCCCAAGGTCATCCAGCCAGGTGCACGTGGAGGAGGAGTGGGGAATCGAACCCGGTTCTCCCAGATTAGAGTCCGCACACACTTAACCACTGCACCAAACTGGATGAAGCTTCTTTGCTCAAAGTGCAGGGAAGCAAAACACTGGTGGTGGCTGGGAGCGTCCTTGCTTCTGGCCCAGAGAACGAGATGGTGGCTGTGCTGGTTGGACCGGACTTGTTGGCTCGCCGGCCCCGGTCCCCGGGGGCAACCTCCAGGTGGTACCTGGAGATCTCCTGCTATTACAATTGATCCGCGGACAATAGAGATCAGTTCCCTAGAGAAAATGGCTGCTTTGGAGGGTGGACTGTATGGCATTATACCCTGCTGAGGTCGCTCCCCTTCCCAAAACCCCACCCTCCCCAGGATCCACTCCCAAAATGTCCAGGTATTTCCCAGCCCAGAGCTGGTGACCCTATCCAGGAATGCTTCTAGAAGAAGAAGAAGAAGAAGAAGAAGAAGAAGAAGAAGAAGAAGAAGAAGAAGAAGAAGAAGAAGAAGAAGAAGAAGAAGAAGAAGAAGAAGAAGAAGAAGAAGAGATTGGATTTATACCCCGCCCTTCACTTGGAGTCTCAGTGCGGCTTACAAACTCCTCTCCCTTCCCCTCCCCACAACAGACACCCTGTGAGGTGGGTGGGGCTGAGAGAGCTCTGACACAAACTGCTCTTTTTCAAGGACAGCTGTGCCAGAGCTTGTGACTGACCCAAGATCACATCAGCAGGTGCAAGTGGAGGAGTGGGGAATCAAACCCGGTTCTCCCAGATTAGAGTCCGCGCACTTAACCACTACTCCAAACTGGCTCTCCACTGGCTCTTCTAGCCACTTGCTTGGCCAGGGCAGGGCGGGGCGGGGCTTTTTCGGCTCAGGCTCCCTTTCCCTCGTCCATCGCTTGTTTCCCAAGCTTTTTGCTTGAGTTGGGAGAGGTGATTTGGGGAAAGAAGGTGCTTAGCCCCGTTGGACGAATGCAGCGTTGGTGCCTTTTGGATCAGAGCCCAGATGTGTACCTGATCAGGGGTGCCTGATGGGCCAGAGTTGGGATCAGGGTGCTGGACTCGGGGGGGGCAGGCCCGATTCTGGGTGCCGGAGGCTGCCCAGGGATCCGTGCCAAGGGGTGTATGAATCTGGGTGGCGCCGCCATCCCCCTCCCTGCCCGGAGACTCCCTCCTTTGCCATTCCAGGGCCCGGGTCGTGAAGGGCCCTTGGCACTGCTCAGTCTTGGCCGTGCCAGGCTGCCTCGTTCTGTGCCAGCCTGCTGAGGTCGGTCTTTTCTCCTCCGACTGGCCGTGGCTCTCCAGGATCTCGGGCGGAGCTTTCTTACGTCTCCCGCTCCTGGGTCCTTTGCATCGGAGATGCCGGGGATTGAACCGGGGCACCTTCTGCACACCAAGCAGAGGCTCTGCCCCCGGGCCAGGGTCCCTCCCTGATGGGCCCGATAGCCTTGGGTGGCACCCCTGCTGCTTGTGGGCGGGAGGGCTATTTCTCTGCGGTGCTCTCTGTGGAAGCGTCTCTCCTCTCCTCTGCCGTCTGAGAGGCCCCGGAAGCGCCTTCCTCGGTAGGCATTTGATGGCTGCCTGGCTGGCATCCCTTCCCTGCAAGGAGGGCAGGATTTGTTGGGCCTTTTGGGAGCCCCAACAAACAGGCCGACCTGCAGAGGGCACTGCCCACGCGGCCCATCCTGGTGAGGAGCTGAAAGGGGAGAGGTTTGTTTTGTGTCCTGGCTGCTGTGGCATGTGATCCTCTCTCCCCCCCCCCCAGCCCCCCTCTCGCGTTTCAGCTGGTGGCCCTTGTATCCCTGCTGCGGCCGGATGGCAGGAGCAACCGGGCCTCTAATTGCACGCAGCGCCCCAGGATACGGCAGGTTAAGTGCTGGGGGGAGGGGGGCCCTCTGGGCGGCAGCAGGGTGTCTCCGTGTGCCGGCTGCACTTTAGGGTGAAAACGCACACACCCCAGCCAAGGGGGCGGATTCAGTGCCTTGCCCAGGCATGTGGGAGTTCTTTAGTGGTCCCGTGGGGTCAGTGCGGGGTGGTGCTGTCTCTGTTGCCCCAGCAGCTGTAGGGAGATGCTTGGAGAGGAGGGGGGGCAGTCAGAGATGGGGGAGACAAGACACACACACACCCTCCCAGCCTGTGTCTTGTCCCCCCTCACTTAGTGTATCTGGTGCCTCTTTTGGCATCTCTGCTGCGCCCACTTGATTTTGCTCCCAGTGAATTTGCAGTATGCAGCCCAGCAGGGGGGCTTATGTGGGCCCCTCCCCTTTCTCTGTGGCTGGCACCCATCCTGCAGACGGCGCCTCCCCCCCCCCCCCCCGTTTGTCCAGGCCAGCCCGCTCACTAGCGGCAGTAGCCATGAGAACACGGCCTAGCCTTAGAGAGTGCTTTTGGGGGGTTTGGGTGCACTTTGCATGGGCTCTCTCGGCACAGTCCTCACGAGGACCCCGTGAGGTGGTCTGGCAGAGCGTGGCTTTTCCGTCACCATCAGGGGGAGTGAGTGCGTGGCAGGTGACATTGGCACCAGGGACTTGGTTATTGTTACATTCAATAGCGATATGGGTCTATAATTTTTTACTTGATTTTTCTCTGAGTTTGGTTTAGGTATTAATGTTATTATTGCCTGATTCCATGATGCTGGTAACTTCCCTAACTCCCCTATATTCTGTATCACATCCTTTAGTTGGGAGTATTAACTGATCTTCAAAAGTCTTTAAAAATTCTGTTGGTATACGATCATGGCCTGGTGATTTCTTGTTCTTCTGCTTCTTAATTGCTTCTATTATTTCACACGTAGTAATTGGATCATTTAGAATACATTTTTCATCCTCGTTAAATTTTTGCTTATTATTTTTTCCTAGTATTCTTTCATTTGAATATTTTCTTCATTCTTTTGTTGATGTAGATTTAAAAAAAAAATTCTACAATTTTTTTCGTATCCTGTAATTTGTAATTTGTATTTTTCTTCATCCTTTTCATCTTTAAGTAGAATTATGGATCGTTTTTCTCTTTCCTTTCTAAGCCGATATGACAACCATCTCGAGGATTTATTCGCATTTTCGAAGTGGTAAAGTTTGGCATATTCCATATATTTTACAATTTCTTGAGTTAATATTAGATTCATTTTATGCACTAATAATTTTAATTTAGTTTGAATATCTTCTCTATTCATACCTCTTTTCAATTTATCTTCTTGCTTTTTAATTTGCTTACTTAATAGCTCATAAGATATTTTCCTTTCTTTTCTCTTCCACACATCCTGATTAATAAACCAGCCTCTCATATATGCTTTAAATGCATCCCAAACTGTTAGGGTTGCCAAGTGGTTTTTGAGCCGTAGCGGGGGATTCACGGCTGGCGGCTGGAGTGCGCGCGCATGCCACATGCACATCACCCGGAAGTGACATGGCGACACCGGGCACGCTAGGGGCCGGGGCCATGACCATCTGAGGGAAAACCATAGGGTTTTCCCTCGGATGATTGTGGCCCCGCCCCCAGTGTGCCCGGCATGGTCGTGTCACTTCCAGGTGACGTGCACGTCGGGGTGGGGTTCCCCCGGGGCCTGATCCGCCGGCAGCGGGGAACGGGCCTCTGGAGCGGGGGTTTCCCCGCCCCCCGGGGGGACTTGGCAAGCCTACAAACTGTGTATATTGGCATCTCTGGCTGGATATTTCTTTTTATAAAATCTTGAATTTCTATTTTTGTTTTTTCCACAAATTTATTATCTCTGAGTAGGTTATTAGTTAGGATCCATCTATTTCTTTTCCTAATTTCTTTGAAGGAAAATAATATTGGATTATGATCTGCGAATGTCTTAGGTAGGATCTCTGCCTCTAGTAGTTCGCTCAACATTGTTAAGTTCACCCACGCCATGTCTATATCAATAGACCTTTAATGGTATATACAACATTAAAATCAGAGACAGTAAATAACACAATCAGCTAAAAGTCTGAGATAATTAAAAAAACATAAAATTGAGTTTCCCACGTTTTTCACTCTTATCACATCAACTAAAAAATTGGCCACTGCCACAGTAATCTCTACTGTTGTATCATTCAATAGAATTTGACATTTTATTTTATTAGGAAGGTGATGTTTACCCTGCAACCAAGTATTTAACCATTTTTCCCTAGCAGATGCATGCAACGAACAGTCTAACAGTATGTGACCAATTGAATCAAGATAGAGTCACATCTCCGTTCGTGCTTAGGAATATTTTGAAACCTACCATGCCTATACGTGACCAACAGTCGTGTCTATTTGAGTAGAATGTAAAATCTCTTTTATTTATATTGCGTGTTCTCCAAGCATCTAATAGGCTGTATCCCTCCAGCTCAGTGGGTGGGGTTCTGTGGTGGGGAGGGAGGGAGAGCCACGGTTTCCCAGCCTGCTCCCCCCCCCCTTGGTGGGTGCCGCTTGGAGCACTGGCTGGCAGAGCGGGCCTCCCCCCGCCCGCGTTCCTGGCCCGTTGCCCTCCCCTCCCCTCCCCTCACTCTTCCTCTCTGTCTCCCCCTACAGGCGGGACGGCGGAGAGCAAGGCGGTGGTGCGCTACAGCAAGGACCAGCGGCCGACCACGCTGCCCATCCAGCCCTTTGTGTTCCAGCACCACTTCCCCAGACAGCCCAAGGGGCGGGCCCTGCACAGCCACCTCGCCTCCAGCCTCTCCCAGCTCTACAGCCTCTCGGCCGCTGGCCGCTCGGCCGGCCAGCAGCTCTCCTCCACCTCCCAGTCCTCGGCCTCCGCCACCTCCGCCGACCAGCCCATGGGGGTGGGGACCCTGGGGCCGGGTCAGCGCTCGGCGGACGGGGCCGCCTCCCTCGCTGACGGCTGCGCCAGGAAGCCCGTCCCGGAGACCACTCGCCCGTCCCCGCTGGGCAGCTACTCCCCCGTGCGAAGCAATGTGCCTTTCTTCCAGAACGTGGACTCTTCCTCCTCCTCCTCCTGCTCTGCGACGCCTGAGAGTCACCCTCCCCGGAGCCGGTCCTGCCCCGTCTCTGCCAACCTCCTGCCCACCGGGCCTTCCCCGGCCCCCCACGCCGGCACCCGTGCCAACCCCGTGCACAAGAAGGAGAGCCCCCAGCTGGCCCCCAGGGTGCTGCCAGAGCAGAGCGGGCCGCCGGACGAGTACCAGCTCCACGGCAGCTCCCTCCCTCCTTTGGCGACCGAGGGGCTGAGCTTGTCCGGGGCAGGGGGGCCCGCCAACCCCCCGTGGAAGGCTGGCTGCAGTGATCCCGTCAGCGCTGGGTCCCTGGGCGCCATGGGGCCCCGCCCCCTGAACGGTAGGTGGTCTCCTGTCACAGAACTTCCAAGGACTTGGCAGGCACCCCATGGGGGGGAGGGGGAGTTGGAAGGTTTTGGGGAGAAGCGCCAGGATTGGCCACGGCTGTTCCAAAAGCAAAATGAATCCATGGTGACAGTATTGCCTGAGTATATGCAGGGACAAAGTCGGTCTCTGGTCCCGTTGCAAGTTTTGGTTCCTGGGCTTGGCTCTTTGCCGGGTGGCCCATTGTCGGAGGTGAGAAGCCATTTGAAGTTGGGGGTTCTCTCTTGGTCCTTCTGGAGGGGGTCTTTCAGCTGGATGCCCACGTTTGGCATCTAGCTACAAGAACCCCCAAGAAGAAACGAGAGAGAACCCCGTCGTCAGATCCCGAAAGCTCCCGGAGGCCACCAGGGATCGCTTCGCAGAGGCAGGGAAGGGCAAACCACCCCGTCTGTCTGTCTCTTCCCTCGAAAACCTCACCAGCCGGAATGAGTCGGTTGTGACTTGATGGGGGGGGTGGGGGAAGGCAGAGCCCTTGATGAGACCACCTTGGGATCCTCCTCTCACCCATGGTCCAGGGTCATGCGTGCCGTCGCGTGTCATCTGGCCCTTTCTCCTGTCTCTCCGTGGGACAAATGAGTCACTCCCTGCCTGCAGGAACCACTGAACGCAAACCTGACATTAGAAATCGCAACACTCAGAAACGAGCGGGAGAACATTTCAATCTTCCAGGACATCTGTTGTTGATCTGAAAGACACTTTTATCAATTAAAAAAAATCAAAGGGAATAGGCAAAGAGAAAGTGCTGAATCAGAACACTTCAGGAAAGCAAATGCAGCCTGAACAGAGACTTGGGTTTCATTAGAGCAAGTCCAGTGGCACCTTTAAGACCAACACAGTTTAATTCTGGGTGGAAGCTTTCGTGTGCCGGCACCCTGCTTCAGAGGCCTTCAGACTTTGTCCCACATCATAGCCGGTGACCTTTCTGTGCGACTAGACCGAGCCCCCCACCCACCTCAGGCAGCCCCCAGCCCCACAGCAGGTGCCAGTGCTCTCAGTCCCCCTCCCAGGGAGTGTGCCGGGGAGGGAGGACGCCACCGGCCCCTGGAAAGGGGTCCCCTCGCAGCCAACCTCTGGTTCTCAGGTGTATGCACGGACCACCCTCCCAGCTCTCGGGTGGTCTGTCCCTAAAGAAGCGCAGGAGCCCCACGAAGGCAACTGGAGCGGGGGTGGGGGTGGGGGTGGCATGTCTCTCTTGCAGAGCCTCCTCTGGCCCTGCAAACGTTGCAGGTGGGAGCTCTTCCCAGGTCTCTTTGGCTGCAGTTTGGGGAAGGCCCCGGAGCAAACATTCTACTTTGTGAGCTCCTGGCATTAAAGTTGTGAGCGAGCGATTTGGCTCCTGCATAAATCAGTTTGCTCTGGAGCCCTCCTTCCTGAGCTAAGATGAAAATGTATGAGCCGGAGGCTAAAAAACTGTGAGCTCGCTCACACTCACTCACCTTAGAGGGAACCCTGCAGTTGCACCCTGCCTGCCTGCCTGCCCTGTAGGGCTGCCTGCCAGCATTGTTTCTTCCACATTTTTAGAATTCTCCCCTTCCCCCCCCCCCATGCCAATGTCCAGCTAATGCTTGCGGGATTGCTACTAACATTGTTGTCTTGGTTCTTGCCTGTCTCCTCTCTTGGTTTTTCTTCCTCCCTCCCTCCTCTCTCTTTCTCTCTCCCTCCCTCCTGCCCTCTCTCTCTCTCTGTCTCCTGTCCTGTGGCTCGCTTGCCTCGGGGGCCGCGTAGCCCACCACCTCTCTCCGCAAGCACTCAAGTGGCGGGAGTATCGGCGAAGGAACCCCCTGGGGCTGGACGGCGTCTCGGGGCTGGCAGGGCTGACGGGCAGCCTGGACTGGAGGCGGCAGGAGGGCCGGCTGCCCTGGAGGAACCCCATCTTTGAGTTCCCAGGTGCCCTGAATGCGGGACGCAACACCTGCCGGCTCAATGGTGCGCCCCAGCCGTAGGCAGGACTCTCTGGGGGGCCCAGCCCATGGGGCGCGGCCTCTGCCCCCCTCCCTTTGGTCCTCTCCCGGGGAGGGGGTGACTCCGCTTGGAGTGGGGAGCCCCCTTGTCGGAGGACAGAAGGGAAGGGAGGCTCCCGTTCGTTCCCGGCTCAGCGGTCGCGTCTCCTCTCTCTGCGGTGCCGTCCAAGGGGAGTCGGCCGCAACAAGGTCCCGCTGAAGCCGGTGGCTTGGGGTGCTGTGGGCTGGGGAGGGAGATGGGAAGAGCAGCCTGACAAACCTGGTGGGGGTGGGCAGAGCTCCCTCTAAGCCGTGGAGGGTCCTGTGAGCAAAAACTCCACTTTGTGAGCTCCTGGCATTAAGGCTGTGAGTGAGCCGTTTGGCTCCTGTATCAATGAGTTTGCTCTCTGGAGCCCCCTCCTTCCTGAGCGGAGACAAAAATGGGTGAGCCGGAGGCTAAAAAACGGAGTGAACTCACACTAACGCAGTTTAGAGGGAACACTGTTGGTGGTGGGAGGGGCTGATGGCCCCAGGCCCCTGTGGTCGTGCAGACAGCTCCCTCCTCTGGCAAGTCCCACAGTAGTCGGTGCTGAAGGCGGCTTCCACTGCAGGCTTTAGTTGGTTCTCGCTGGTACATGTTTGTCTCACGTTTATCTCCCAAGAAGCCTGGCGCTTTCTCCTGAGAGGGAGGGGCTGGGCCAAGGTCCCCCGTGGCAGGGTGGGATTCGAACCTGGGTCTCCCAGAGCCTAGTCCAGCATCCCGGTCTCTTTGCCCTGTTGGGGCTCCGTCTGGGCACTGATTTCCATGGACCGGGGGGGGGGGGCTCACTGTCCTCCGGACGGTGCCCCTTGGGTTGAGATGGTGCCCCCGGGGACTGCCCGCTCTGCCGCTGAACTGAACGGGTCTTGGGAATCTTCTTCCAGAGCCTCTGCGCCCCCCCCCCGGTCCTTTCCTCCTGGGAGGGGTCTCTCTCCTTCCCCTTCTGTCCAAGGTCCTTCTGCGCAGCTGAATCCTGTCCCTGTTTTCTCCCCACCACCACCACCACCTTGAATGGCCCTCCTCTTCCTCCCCCCCCCCGCATCTTGAGTGGGGCTTTTCCCTCTGGAGGCAAAGTCCGGCCACCACCGGGGTGTGCTCGTGGGAGGAGGCATCCGTGCCTCTTGTGCCCGGGTTGTGCCTGCTGGAGATAAAACCGCCTCACGTGGACTTTGCCTGGGGGTGGGGGTGGGGATGTAGGAAGGAGCCCTTGGCTAAGGAAGGCCGGGCGCGCTCTCTTGAGCGTGGCAGGGTGGCTAGAGTCTCTCCCCACTTGGGACGGAGGGCCAAGCGGAGGGGTGCAGCGGAGCCCCATCTGGCCCCGAAGCTGAAGCACGTGTCACCCCTCGGGAGCCAGTTCTGCCAACCCCAACGCCACCCCCCTTCTCTCTCTGACTCCTGCAGGACAGTCCATGAAGCTCCCACCGCTCAACTACTCCGACTTCTTCCCGGACTATTTCTCCCTGGCGGAAAAGCCCCCCGCGGAATTCTGCCTGTCGCCGGATGGAAACACGGAGTCCGTCTCCATCGACCTGCTGCAGAAGAAGGGTGAGTTCTCCCCAGTGCTCCCTCTAAGCTGAGTCAGTATGAGCTAGCTCACAGTTTTTTAGCCTCCGGCTCACATATTTCTGTCTTAGCGCGGGAAGGACGGCTCCAGAGCAAACTAATTGATGCAGGAGCCAAATCGCTCTCTCACAATTGTGATGCCAGTCGCTCACATAGTAGGATTTTTGCTCACAAGACTCCACAGCTTAGAGGGAGCAGCCGCAGAGCAAGCAGTGGGGTCGGCAGCGGGCCGGGGTGGGGTGGGGGCTCGGAGGCGCTGACTGGGTCAGCGTCCCATCGAGAGCCCTGCAAAGCAGGCGGAGACCCCGGGTGGCCCCCGCTCTGCCGCTCTGCTGCTCTTCCTTCAAGGCTCTGGGGGGGGGGGTTGTTGGGGGGCTTTCCACTGGGGCATCTCCGGGAACAGTTGCTCCTGGCTTGCTCGCCTGAGACCTTTCCTCCTGGCACTGTGGAGGTCTGTGCCCCCTGCCCGCCAAGCTGTGGCCCAGTTGACGGGGAGGAGGAGGAGGAGGGCAGCACGGGTGTGTGTGTGTGGGGGGGGGAGCAAGGGTTGTGTTTGAGGGCGGGGCTGCGAGGGGGGGGTCCCATTGGCCCACTTAGGGCAGGGGAGCCTTGCCTGCTGGTGCCCTCCGGATTGATGGGGGGGAACGGGGGCCGAATGGGTGGGGGGGGCACTCATCCTGGGGAGAAGAAGAATTAAGAAGAAGGAGGAGGCCTTGTCTGCTTACCGGAAGTCCTGACTGCAGAGTTCCTGGCGATTCCTAGAGGTGCCCAGAAGGGACCCGCAGCGGGGACTGGCTCTGGGTGCCTTTGAGGACAGGCAGGCTGCCATCGGCTGCCTATGGGGCAGGGTGGGAGGACAGCCCCCCCCCCGTCGCCGCCTCTTGGGGAGGGGGGCGGGGCCGCCTTCAGCTCTGCTCTGGCGCCTGTCTTGCAGGGCTGGTCAAGGCGATCAACACAGCCGTGGACCTGATCGTGGCCCATTTCGGGACCAGCAGAGACCCTGGGGTGAAGGTGAGTGGGGAGGGGGTGGGGAAGACATGGGTGGGTGGTGGCCCCTCCCAGGTGTTGTGCTAGAGAAAACCCCCCCG